CTTCGGCAGCGAGAACTGGTTAGCTGCAGGCTGCTAGTTCGGCAGCGACAACTGTTTCGCTGCTGGCAGCCCGTTCGGCAGCGAAAACTGCATCGCTGTTGGTGCCACAGTTTCGCTGCACAACGCACAACTCGGCAGCGAATATCAATTCGCTGCAGGAGGTTCAGTTTCAGCAGCGAAACAGAATTTCGCTGCGCAACACACAATTCGGCAGGGAATATCGATTCGCTGCAGGAGGTTCGGTTGCGGCAGCGAAACAGAATTTCGCTGCGCAACACACAATGCGGCAGCGAATATCGATTCGCTGCAGGAGGTTCGGTTGCGGCAGCGAAACAGAATTTTGCTGCGTAACACACAATTTGGCAGCGAATATCAATTCGCTGCAGGAGGTTCAGTTTCGGCAGCAAAACAGAATTTTGCTGCGTAACACACAATTTGGCAGCGAATATCAATTCGCTGCAGGAGGTTCAGTCGCGGCAGCGAAACATAATTTCGCTGCACAATACACAAATCGGCAGCGAATATCGATTCGCTGCAGGAGGTTCGGTTTCGGCAGCAAAACAGAATTTCGCTGCAGGAGGTTCCGTTGCGGCAGCGAAACAGAATTTCGCTGCGCAATACACAAATCGGCAGCGAATATCGATTCGCTGCAGGAGGTTCGGTTTCGGCAGCGAAACAGAATTTCGCTGCAGGAGGTTCCGTTGCGGCAGCGAAACAGAATTTCGCTGCAGGAGGTTCCGTTGCGGCAGCGAAACAGAATTTCGCTGCGCAATACACAAATCGGCAGCGAATATCGATTCGCTGCAGGAGGTTCGGTTGCGGCAGCGAAACAGAATTTCGCTGCGCAACACACAAATCGGAACCATCAATTTCAGCACATAGTTCTTCAACAAAAATTCCAGCAACAACATCACAGCAGAACACATTAAATTTCAGCAACAACATCACAACAAAACGTATTAATTTCAGCAACAATAATCACAGCAAAACCCATTAATTTCAGCAACAATCATCACAGCAGAACATATTAATTCCAGCAGCAACATCACAGCAGAACACATTGATTTCAGCAACAATCATCACAGAAAAACACATTAATTCCAGTAGCAACATCACAGCAGAAAGCATTAAATTTTAGCAGAACACACACACACATACATGCTGGCATACCCCATAGTTAAAGCCAGCCTTCTACCATAATTGTTAGATGTTCTGAAATTGACTTTATTTCACTTCTGTTTGCTAGTTCTCCTAGTTAATTTCAGTTTCCCTCATAGCTAGCTTAGGTCTTAGATCAATTTTTCTTAGGGTTTTTCTTCTTCATTTTCGTTTTTGATCTTAAGGGGGAGAGGAAAGGGAGTTTGATGACCCATACCTCCTGAATTTAACTAAGTTTGAGGAAGGTTTGACACTATTCTTTTATCTTCAGCTGCTGGTTCTCCTCCTTCTTCTTCCTCTCACCTTTTCCAGCTCTCTTTTTCCTCTCCTCTATGCAGCTGCCCACTCCTCTCTCAAGATCTCATCTTTCCCTCACAAGCTCACAAGGTAATCTCTACTAGTTTGATTCACGTTTCTGTTGTGAAAGGGGAAGGGAAGAATGCATGCAGCTGCTGGTTTGGGAAGAAGATGGATCATTCTCTCTCCCCTCTTTGTATTTATACTACCCATCAAATGAAATGGGTTGTTGGGGGGTTGGTTTAGGTGTATCCTTATCCTTGTTTGGTTTATCTAAAACCAGTTTTACCCCTCCCTCCCAGCTCTGCGTCACTGCTGATTGAGAAATCGGCAGCGAAAACTGCATCGATGCCGATTGCTGCATCGGCAGCTAAAACTGCGTCGCTGCCGATTGCTGCATCGACAGCGAAACTGCACTGCAGTCAAATCCAGAATGGGCAGCGAAAACTGCGTCGCTGCCGATTTCGGCATCGGCAGCGAAAAATGCGTCGCTGCCGATTTGTGCATCGGCAGCGAAAACTGCGTCGCTGCCGATGTCTGCATCGGCAGCGAAAACTGCATTCATCATCATCTCTCTCTCTCTCTCTCTAAATATATATATTTTCGTTTGGGTGTTTACAGAGGGTCTCTCAACCACTGCTCGTCGTGGCGATCGTCGCCGAGGACTCGATTTTGGGCCAACCACGAGCGGGAGCGCGCGGGAGACCAGTATCCGCCCCCGCCCTCGCGAACCGAGGGGAGAGGGGGCGACGATGCGTGACGCCCAGGCAGACGTGCCCTCGACCAGGAGGCCTCGGGCGCAACTTGCGTTCAAAGACTCGATGGTTCACGGGATTCTGCAATTCACACCAAGTATCGCATTTCGCTACGTTCTTCATCGATGCGAGAGCCGAGATATCCGTTGCCGAGAGTCGTTTAGATTATCACCAGAAGAAGGCGCGCCCCCGACGCCGAGGCTACGGGGGCGCGCTCCTAGTACTTAATTTCCTTGGTGCTTCTCGCGCCGGGGTTCGTTTGCGAGCCATGCAGGGCGCAGACGCGTCCCTCCACGGCCCGCGAGGACGCGAGGGGCGGGTGCCCCCGAGCCCAGCTTGTCATGCCACGGGTTCGTGGGTCGTTCTGCTAGGCAGGTTTCGACAATGATCCTTCCGCAGGTTCACCTACGGAAACCTTGTTACGACTTCTCCTTCCTCTAAATGATAAGGTTCAATGGACTTCTCGCGACGTCGCCGGCGGCGAACCGCCCACGTCACCGCGATCCGAACACTTCACCGGACCATTCAATCGGTAGGAGCGACGGGCGGTGTGTACAAAGGGCAGGGACGTAGTCAACGCGAGTTGATGACTCGCGCTTACTAGGAATTCCTCGTTGAAGACCAACAATTGCAATGATCTATCCCCATCACGATGAAATTTCAAAGATTACCCGGGCCTGTCGGCCAAGGCTATAGACTCGTTGAATACATCAGTGTAGCGCGCGTGCGGCCCAGAACATCTAAGGGCATCACAGACCTGTTATTGCCTCAAACTTCCTTGGTCTGGAAGGCCATAGTCCCTCTAAGAAGCTGGCTGCGGAGGGTCACCTCCGCATAGCTAGTTAGCAGGTTGAGGTCTCGTTCGTTAACGGAATTAACCAGACAAATCGCTCCACCAACTAAGAACGGTCATGCACCACCACCCATAGAATCAAGAAAGAGCTCTCAGTTAGACAAGGAGATCCTTTATCCCCCTATCTGTTTATTGTTTGCATGGAATATCTCTCCAGGATGCTCCAAATTGCAACTCTCTCTCCTGGTTTCCGTTTTCATCCGAAATGTGACACGTTGGGCATTTGTCATCTTGCATTTGCTGATGATGTTATCCTGCTTTCCCGGGGAGATCATCATTCTGTATCCACCTTGTTTCAGCAATTGCATATCTTTGGGAGGACTTCGGGGCTGGAGATTAATGCATCCAAATCATGAATTTTCTTTGGAGGTGTATCAGATAGTGTAAGGCAGCTTATTCTTTCAGACACGGGATTTGCTGAAGGGTCCTTTCCTTTCCGATATCTAGGCGTCCCCCTCAGTCCTCACAGACTTCTAGCCAGCCAGTATTCTCCTCTCATCCATACACTTGACTCTGTTATTCAAAGCTGGATGGGCAAGCATCTTAGTTATGCAGGGACGCTAGAGCTGCTCAAGTCTGTTTTATATGGCATTATTCAATTCTGGCTGAACGTTTTCCCGGTTCCGGATACTGTTATCAAGCAACTCATTTGTCTTTGCCGCAATTTCTTGTGGACTGGCTCTGTCTCCAGGAGCAAATCTGCATTGGTTGCTTGGCGCGCCGTTTGTCTTCCTAAGGATGAAGGTGGCTTGGGCTTCTTTGATCTCAGAGCTAGAAATAACAGTTTTCTAGCTAAACACATCTGGAATATTCATCTTAAGGCGGATTCAATGGATCCATCATTACTATATACGTTCCCAATCTTTTTGGGACACTGCAGCTCACCCGAATTCCTCTCCTCTGTGGAAATCAATTATCAACTTTCGGGACAAGCTCGTTGAAATGGGAGGTG